TTCTTAGAATATTTCAGGTATTCTTCTACTCCCTGTCTCTTTCAATTCCCCTTCCTTCACTCTTTGTTCCTTTCCTCTCTCTCTCTTTCTCTCTCTCTTCCTCTCTCTCTCAGTTAGTTTGTCCTGCAAGATCAGACAAAGGTGCCTTCTCTTCCTGGTAGCTTTCTCCAAGTTCAGATCACTGGATTCCTGCCATGGCTTTTTTGCTTACACTTTATTGGGATTCTCTATTTATGTGTTCCTTTCTTTCAATGACTTGTCAGAACTCCAAATAATTTGACTTTATACGTAATTTTTGGCATCGCCAGATCCCTTAGGGAAGACAATGTTAAGAAAAATTTGACAGAGTCCCATGAAATCTAGTACTTGATAACTTACTAATGAATCATATAATGGTCTATTGCCTTTGCAAAGAAATCCAACCTTTTGATGAACACATAAGAAATTAATAGTGCTACTTAGAAGAAGGGTTTTGTAAATTATTATTATTAGTAAAGCTTGAAGGCTTTGTATTTGTTTCGTAGTTTTTTGTTTTACTGTTTAGCAGTAAGCTTGTACTCTTAAAAGAGACAATGGATTCAGTAGAATAAAATCCATCAATGGACCTTGATGGGCTTAGAGGAATGCTGGTGGAACCCTAAAAACCCTGTAATGTAGCAAAAGTACACCAAACTCAGCATTCCCTGGTTTCAGTAAGATTCTGCCTTCTTTCAACAGTGATGCTTCATTCATTTTTGCTTGCTTACTTTCTTGAACTTCAGTGTCTTCACTCTTGCATGTCCTGCAGGGCTGTTTAGTAAATATTTCCCAATTACATGCCAGTAAAGTTTGGAAAGTGTGATGCAAGTTTGAGGAATGTTTTGCCACAGTGAATGTGCTGTTATGTATGCAACACTTTTGCTTTTAAATAAAAAGCAAAATAATATAAATCCAATGCTTCCCCTCATTTTTTCAAATTTGTTTTATTACCCATCTACTGTGCTAGAAGGTGTTTATTAAAAATTAATTGGGCATGCTTGTTAATTTTTGTTACAATATACCGAGTCCTAAGTTTAAGTAGGAGATATAAATTAATAGGGGTTATCTCTCTTTTTAGCAGCAATAAAACTACAGAACAGTGAGACAAATTCCTTTCCTATCCTCACTGGTGTAATTCTCCTTATAACTAAGGGTTCAGGATTCACATGTATTACAAAAGTGCTAAGTACTGGACACTGGGGATGAAAGTAGTGGCAGGAATATTATAACCAAATAAAGACACATTGATGATCTCTTAGGGCCTTTTCCTTCTAAGGAATACAAGGAGTCCATGTGTAGCATCTTATAAAATGTAAGATGTAAAAGAAAGCAAGATCTTCTAAACTTATTATTTCAGAGAGCCAATAGAAACTGGTGAGAGAATAAAAGTAATGATACTATTGTTCTTAAAATTAAAAAATACTGAAAATGATGATAATTTAAAATTAAATTTCTGTTTCAAATGTGAATGCTAACTGTTAAATCTGATCTTCTGGCTTAAGTTTATGGAGGAAAGACTGGGCCTCCTTGCTACGTGTATATACAATAAAAGTCCAAGAAGGATTAGCTTTAAATAATGATAAATTGTGTCCATTCCCTAAAGATTCACTCTAAGATAGGACGGAAGAGTTATCAGGCTTTCATTAACAGTAGACCACTTAATTAAAAGAAGCTGATATAATTATTATTAAACATTATTTATACATTACCAGCATTTTCTGTATAGGAAATAATGGCAAAACAAATGCATAGAATTTGTAGTCAGGTCAAACTCCCCTTCCTTACCAACCTGGCAGAAAGGTGTAGAATACTTTTCTATTTTGTTACCTGAACTGGGATTATCCCTTCCCACAGAGGTAGGTGGAGGGTTTGCAAGAAACCCATTTTATTGGTATGAAATACTGAAATTCTGTAAAGCATATGAAGTAGATTAATTCTGACAAAGAGCAGCAGATACATAGGCAACCCGTAGTACAGAACAAAATCTGAAGTTTGCATGAACTTACCTAAAGACACCCACTTGGTGTCATCATTAAATTTCTGCCTCCAGTCACAATACAATCCCTCTTGTATTTCTGCTGTGAATATATTATGATGAACACCCCTATGTTATTCCAGTCTCATAACTCTCTTCCTCTATCTTCTAACCTATACTCCAGAAAGAATTTTCTGCGATTTGCTAGATAATGCACCTGGCAAAGATACCTAGCATTGTTTCTAGCATGTTGTTGTTCTTAAGAACATTCAGTCATGTTTCTTGGTGGCACGTGAGCTTCTTGAAACTGCATATACATTTTCCCTTTTTTGTTGATGCCATTTCTACCAAAAATTGAATTAGATAGATCATCAGCGTCTTTGTTGTCCATGGCTTCATCCAAGGCCTAGGAACCCTAGCTCATAAAACACTCTAGACATCCAGTTGGGCCACTCGGTGATTAGCTCACCCTTCCAAACTTACACATTGAGCCAGTTGTGTTCCCATCACAATCACCAGCACAGAACTGTTGAGCTGTGACTGTTCCTCAGAGGTTCTCATCTGACTTGCGTTGGAAGCCTACTCCAGGACTTCTGTAGTATCCAGCGCATCTCTGTCACCCAAAGTAGTCGTGTTAAGACATTCTGTGGTGAAGTAAAGAATTATGACTTTATAAATGCCCCCTAGGATTCTGCAGGCCAGAAAAAGCTCCCCCCTTAATGCTTCAGCATTTATCCTTTTAGTCATTTCTCTTTGTAAATAAGTACACTATACCTGCTTTACAAAAATGAGGCAATCATTTAGGATTAATTCTATAGCTGGATTTATTGACTTATTAACATCTATTGATCCTCTTTGCACATTTCTACAGGGAGATTGACAATATGACTGTCAATTGTTGCGTCACTTGATCTCACTGATGTATAGGAGCACATTTTTTAGTCCCATTTCTCTCAAATATGACCACTATAAATAGCTGTCATCAAATGATTTTATGTGTATTTGTGAAAAATGTTTCCTAGAATTGCTAGCGATGTACAATTTAAAGTTTAATAATATCAGCCAATCACTTGTCTAGTGTTTGCATTCATGCACATGAACACCAATATATCATTTTTAATAAGTTATCATCTATAAATGTTTCTTACCCTGATCAGACTCTTGTCCTCCCAAAGGCAAAGATGTCTGTTTTGTCTGCTTACACAAGTAATACGAAATTCCCATTGTGAGAATGAGTGAATAAGCTAATAAACTAGAAATTAAATAATGGCCCCTTTAACTCTCACAACAGCCCTGAATGTCAGATATAGGCTATAGTTCAGAGGATTCTCTAAATTTATATTTTAAAATGTCTTCAATAAATAACTGGATCTATGATTGTACCTTGCTGTGATTTTACCAAAACTAACCCTACACTGGTCTTTTTGAGTCTCAGATTTCATATTTCACAGTCAAGAAATTGACATCATAATTCTCAGATCCAGTGTATAGTTTTATTTCTTACCTTTATCATCAGACACAGCCCACAGATCATTTACTGCTTTTCCTTCCCCAGTCTATATCTTTCAACAATGAAATAAAATTCAAGAGTAATGTTAATGAGAAGCATAAATGATGCTCAGTCTTTCAGTCTTCTACATAGCTGTACTCCAAAGTTCTGTACATTTTAGAACAATGCAAAATTATTATACAGAAAAGGCCAATAGGTTCTAACTGGCCAAAATGTATATAAAAGACATTTACTGCGTAAGACCTCATCCATGTGATTAATATCCATCTTGTACTTGTTGAGATAAATATTTTGCAACAAAAGCAACATATGTATAGGGATGTTTTAACAAGATTTTCATATTTGACAACTCATTTAGCAGGGTGAAATTAATGGGAAAATGAATATGCAGTTGTTGGGTTTGTTTGACTCATGTACACTATTCTGACACAAGAAACTCTTAGCCAATTATTTCAAGAATGCATAACCATCAAGGTCAAATCATCCCCTGTTGATATCTGTGCCCATTGGCCATTGTGGATATCATCATTTCTAAGCTTTTAATAATTGTGTCTTTTTTATAACACTTTGATTATGTATGTTGTAACAGGATATTAGAAATAGTCAAAGTCACAGTGTTGACAAAGGGAAATATGACAAATTCTCTTAAATAACAACTTAAATAACACAAAATTAATTTTTCACCTAACAACTGATGTTTTTTCCATTTTCTATGCATTTATATCATTGGTTGATTATCTTAAGTGTTCTCTCATCTGACCTTTGATTCTCTTACATTGCTATTCTTTGGTTCACCCACCAGCCTAGTACCAATGGCACTGACTAACCATCCTGTTCAATATCTGACTGTTAACAGTGCTGAGGGGAAAAGAATTACTCAACTTCCTTCACTGGAACAAAAGGCCCTTCATTTTCTGGGCCCCTGCTCTTGATAAGATTTATCTCGCTTTCTACCTCAAGCTTTATATGTGGTCCAGAAAAACACAAGTGTCAGGAGTTCTTGATGCTTCCTTTCTGTAATCTAAACATGAGAAACAACCCCATCGTCCGTATTCTTCAACTGGAAAAAGTTCTGATCCGCACTGTTGCCTCTTCTCAGGAAATCTTTCTCTCAGGATGCATGAAAAAGTCTCCATCAACACTTTGCTTGTGCGCTTTCTATAACTATTTTTCTCATTAACCATTTATATATGTATATCTCCCAGTTGACTATAAGGTTCATGAAAAGGAAAGGATGAATTCATCGTTCTTTTATTAAAAAAATAAATATGCAACTAGTTTGTAATGACTTCTTAGTATTTGTTGAGCAAAATGGAGTACTAATGCTGTAATCATCTGCTAGGCAAATGAACAGAGTGATGTGTCCTAAAACTCAGGTCTCCTAACAGCAAAAGTCCAATCATTTTTACAATCCATTGTGAACATGACTTGTTCTGGCTGATTGCTCTGGTTGTTAGATGATTGCACTTATTTAACAACATCCTTTCTGTCTTTCAGGGAGGACACTCAGTTTCAATGGGGCCTGCATCTGCCCCCACTTCATTTCGTCCTGAGGATGAGCTTGAGCACCTGACCAAGAAGATGCTGTATGACATGGACAATCCGCCTTCCGAGGAATACTTTGGTGAGTGGAATCTAGAGCAGACTTCTGACGGAAGTCGGTTTCCCTAACTCAGCCATGAGGAGCATTATCAACTCCACTAGTGAACAATGAGCGTTCATATGTGTGGGAGTTGAAGTGCATGCACGTGCAATGGGAATGGCATTGCTAGACTGTCATGAACCTGATATGTGCTTACCTATGATGAAATAGCAGTGGTCCTCAGCATTTGCTGAGATACAAATTTGATTTCAGGGTATTTAGCAACACATTCGCTTCCTATTATATAGAAATTGGGTTTCTGCGTACATGGATTTAATGATTGCACGAAATGTGGAACTGAGTATTGTATAAACTATAACTTTTTCCCTGATCCCAAGGAAGGAAGTGTCTTTAGATTTGCCTGTCTCCAAACTGAATTACTGTGGATAGTTTACCTGTGCAGTCCACTAATGTGTTTCTAAATCTTCATATGAAAATCATGACACACTGCACTGTGGACTCAAAAGCCTGTCCTCAGGGGGATTGCAATTATATAGAAAAAATGAGATAAGCACAGAATTAGTTATTTATCTACCTGGAAAGTGACGTGAGATGTAAGAGTGTACCAAATTTTAGAAGTTTTCTTTTTAGTTTTTTTTTTAAGAGAACTCTATGTCGTTTCCCATAATGACTATACTGATTTCCATTCCCATCAAAGTATATAAGAATTCCCTTTTCTTTATGCATTTGCCAGTATGTTTCATGTTCTGCCTTTTTGATAAGAGCCATTCTAACAGGGGTGAGGTGATATCTCATTGTGGTTTTGATTTGCATTTCCCTGACAGCTAGTGAAATTTAGCATTTTTTTCTAGCCATTTCTGTTTCCTCTTTTGAGAACTGTCTAGTCGGGTCCCTTGACTACTTCTTAACTGGATTAATTGTTTTTGTTGTTATTGAGCTTGTCAGGTTCCTGATATATTCTTGACAATAATCCTTTATTGAATAAGTAGCTTGCCACATATTCTCCTCTTCTGTCAGAAGCCTCTATATTTTGCTTCTGAGTTGGATATAGTGCCAATTATTTTGCTTTTGTTAAGTGTGCTTTTCAGGTTTTAGCAAAAACAAACAAACAACAAACAAACAAAATAAACCTCTGCGTATACCAACTTCTTGAGGTGTTTCTCTTGAAGTGTTTCTCCTATGTTTCCATACAGAAAATTTAGTTGCAAGTCTTCAATTTAAGTTTTTGATGCATCATGAGTTCATTTTTGAATAGGGTGAAAGGTAGGAATCTAGTTACTAATGAATATCCAGTTTTGTCTACAGTATTTCACAGAATCCTTCTTCTAATGTATGTTCTTGGCATCTATGTCAAAAAACAGTTAGGTCTATATACTGTAAAATTGGACATTTGTTTTAAAACTATAAATAGAACTACCATATTGACCCAGCAATACCACTAATGGATATATGTTCAACAAATCATGACATTATTGTATCTAAGAGAAATCATTCTATCATGATTTTTGCATCATCATTTACAGAGAAGATAGGAAATAAAGGTATCCATCATCAGATTGATTCAAGATGAAAATGTGGTTACATATACGATGGAGTACTCTCCCACAGGAAAAACTAGAATGAAATCCTGTCATTTGTAACAAAATAAGTGAAATTGAAGGACGTCATGTTAAGTGAATAAAGACAAATACCACATGTTCTGCTTTACTAAAAATAAAGCAACTCAGGCTGAACAGAGAAGGTAATTGTAAGATTGGCATGAGGATGGAAACAATTTGAATACTGGGTAACAAATCAAAATTAGATACAAAGAATAAATTTGTAGCGTCACACTCACACTGTAAAGAATAGCACACAATAATTTTGTTGCTATTGTACCAACAAATGGAAGAAAAAAGCTCAAAGCTTCCAATAATAAAATAACATCAAAAAATGAGAAGTGCTGACCACTCTTTTTTGGTCAGAATACATTGGCCATGTGTGTATTTGAGTATCACATTTTAGGCCATAAATCTTTGTAGTGGCTGAAAATTTTTAAGGTTATCAGCATCATCAGGAATTGCTTTATGAGATTTATTTAATATAAACTATTTAAACTTTGTTATTCAAATATTTCATGGTAAAAACGGATTCCTGCCCGCAACCTGTTGGAGACTAGAACTGTAATGACGGTAACTAAGGGCTCTGTTCTAAAGCCACACAATATAAAAAGTGGAAAGTATTAGGATGTAAAAACACAGCACTCATTTTGAACGCGGATTGCCATGTATTTTTACTGAAAATATCTGCCTGGACTAAAAAAGTCTGATTCTGTTCCTTTCTCTGCCCCTTGTTGTCTGTGCAGTATCAGCAAGTCCTTCATCTGCCCAGACCCATTTCCCATCTTAATCCATAAGGGCTGAGGAGCAGTTATTTTTTTTTTCTGACATTTCTTTCAACACTAGTATGTTCAGTGTAAAAACAGTGTTAATCTAAAGATATATAACAGTCAAGGTATAATAAGCTGGTAGTCATCATCACAAGTACTTGAAGCAGAGTAAAGCAAAATAAGTAACTCACCAAGGTCTATACTGAAATTAAAACATATCAGAATTGCATCATTAAGTCTAGGAAATTTTTTCCATAGCAAAAATTTAAAAATGTAAATAATGAAGGCTCTACCAGGTTTTGTTAAATGAAAAGCTAATCTAATTTACTAAATATATTTTCTGCTATATGATAGCAGCTAAATACAGCAATAAGGAAAATTCAATTCAGATAGTAATTGTGTTAATGAATAAACATTGTGAACAAAGAGGGAAACAACTATAAATTATCTTTTCCTTTAAGTATTGTCCTCTCTACTATGTACAAGCATAGGAAATGTGAGCAAATATCTTATTCTCTATTCTTTTTTAAGATTTATTTGTTTGTTTATTATTAGAAAGTCTGATTGACAGAGAGAAGGAGAGACAGAGAAAAAGATCTTCCATCCAGTGGTTCACTCTCCTAGTGGCCACAATGGCCAGAGCTGAACCAATCCAAAGCCAGGAGCTTCTTTTGGGTCTCACGCACATGTGCAGGGTCCAAAGACTTTGGGTCATCCTCCACTGCTTTCCAGGCCATGGGCAGGGAGCTGCATGGGAAGTGGAGCAGCTGGGATCCTGATGCATTCAAGGTGAGAACTATAGCCATTGGACTATGGTGCATGGCCCCTCTATATCTTCTTTTAAAATCTATAATTATGGAGGGGGATGTAAAACCTATACTCTTACTGAGTAAAATACATACAGAGAGCACTCAAACACATACTGGTATTAGGCTCATACTCAGTAATCAGAGTTGTCCAATGCTCTTGGGGCTTTCATTTGATTTAAGAATATAAGATATGCCCATTAAAAATTAATTAATGAATCTTAAACTTCAGTTCCTAGCCACAGTAGGGCATATGTCACCCAGGGGCAAATAATTGTTAACAAGTGAAGATTACTAACCATGAAAGAGAAGGCAGAAAAATGGCTTATATTAAGTCATCTCTGTACATCAGTATTTTATGTCCATTGTCAGAAATTAACCAGTTCATCCTTCTAGGAAAACAGAGTGTATAAAATAGACATTATCGTCATCTCCAAGTCAGGAAGTGAAGGTACAGAATTATTAAGTAAATTGCCCAGTAACAATAGCTTGGTGAGCTGGATTAGAAACCAGTATCTAAGTGTGTACATTTGGACATTACACTTCAGGAGTTAGTGAGAGTTAGTCAGGCTGTATATTTAGGAGAATGTTTGTGGAGACTGGTTTTGAGAAATTAGAAAATAAAGGATAGGTATTCTTTTATGCAAAAAAAAACTGAGAGTAAAGTACAAGTTAGTGCCAGGATTATTCCAGGAGAAATTTTTTTTCCTGTGGGAAATTTCCAAGTTTCTATTATGTCATGGATTTTCTATTAGATGGTCCTTAAGAAAGACATGGATCTAATTGTCAAATGTCATTTTAGTCTATTGGGGATATGTACCCAGTTGCAATGTTTTATCATACATAGGACAGAATGTGACATGTTACCAAATCAAAGTTCAGCCAAATGCTCATTGTGAATCTAGAAAAATAGAGCACATCCAGAAACAGGAATATAAATATTTGAGGAAGCCTTCGTCTTTGAGCAGGTCTTTCAGATTGTCCTAATGGAGACTTGAAATCAGAACGCAGTAGAAAGCTGTGGTCATTGCTAATGAAGAGAATGTCGACATACAAAGGCATAAAAATATAGAGTGAAACATCTATGTGATCAATAGCATGTTTCAAGATCGGCTGGTGAAACTGATTGTGCCTAAATTGGAGAAAACTTTTAAACTCTGGCTAAAGGATATAGTCTTCTTTTTGCGTGTGTGTGTGTATTATCATGAAATTTTTTAAAATTTCATTTTATGACACAGTTTCATAGGCTCTGGAATTCCCCCAACCTCTCCCCATACCCTCCCCCCCGTGTTGGAATCCTCCAATAGTTTCAGTAGTGCAGTTCAAGTCCAGTCATGATTCTTTCATTGCAAACATGTACCATGCATAGAGTCCTGCCTCTTATTGTCCAGATAAATTCAATGAAGTAGTCACAGGATGTGACTAAGAACTTGTATTTTCTAACATATTGGTCATACAATACCATGTCAATTAACTCCATAGTGTTGTAAATTGTTGTTGATGTCATGTCATGGCCTTTCATTGGACTGGATGATATTCTGCCAGCTCTACTTTCAGACCAGTGAGGATCTCCCTGAGAAACTGTTGAATTAATCTTCTATAATGAATCTACACATTGGGATGATATGTAACAGGCATTGTTCTGCGGGTAATGGTAAGGACCATCAGCTTCAGAACCAAATGCCTTGATCTGAAGGCTGATTATACCTCTTCCTGCCATTCAAATCAAGAGGCAAAGGGCCTAACAAACTGTTTGATTTGTTCAACATTTCCCAAGCATCTTTGGGTCTGCATCATGCTGGAGAGCAGGGACATCAGATGCACAGGCTGTGCGCTCACAATACTCA